GGTTAGTATTAATAGACGCAGCATAGTGTCTGCACGCATCTGTAGGATTGCAAGAATAGAAGAGAAGCTTAACACTACCTAATATCGTGTACGACCAGGCATGTCATTGCCTAGCTCGGAGTGTAAAGAAAGACAGCGCACATTGGGTTCCAGGTTGAGCAAGCATGAAACGTCGGCGTACTTTTTCATATTACGACTCCCACACACCGGAAGCTAATGAGACGTAAAAAAATATCCCACCACCACCACAACTCTGAAACACCCCTAGACCGTCCATCAAGCATTCGAGACCCTTCACTAGCAAAAGGACATAGTCAAAACAAAAAGAAAGGTCTTGCCCGGAATCGAACCGGGGTTGCCGGAAGACACTGATTTTGAGATCAGAATCCGGAGTGATAACCGCTACCTATATGGTAATTAGCGGGGGCAAGCGAGAAGTGGATGTTGAACAACGTACACTACAAAACCGATGGAAGTTTTAGCTCAGCATAGGTTATAAAGTAAGCTTGCCCGAGGCAGATTAGCACGCGCGATTGTGTGCGCAAGAAAGTGCGAGGGTGCAAAACTTTTCGGTCGCATGAGGTGGGGTGGCGGGGTTTCTGATCCAGTTGGTGGGGTATTCCAGATTTTGAAACCATGGAACGCGAATGCGTGAACGGAACGATCCAGCTTGGCTTTGGTTGGCGACTACATTTATCGTTCCATAGTCAGGACATCTCCGCAGCGTCGTGTTGACGACAACATGGAACACGATCGCGCCCTGCCACTAGGGAGATACAACTGCTTTCCACAGCATCCACAGCTACGCCTTCACGCAACATAGCTACAACTGTATTTACCCTTCAAGTTTAGCCCTCTCAGGGGTGTCCTACACCTGTGAGCATATAATTAATTTTGGTTGACGGAATCTGCATTCAGGCCATATGTGGGTACGTGAACTAGCTACACGACACAGGATCCAAGTAAACCAACCATGAGCGAGAAGCTATGCTCGTCGGTCAATCCAGTCTGAGAACTGTACACTGAACCGAGAACCAGGCGTGAAGTACGTGGGCGCCCGGTTCCTGTAGGTTTCCTCCAACATCGTACGCATAGCACTGATTCCAGCTGCGGAAGCATTCGCCATGTCCCTCGACCTGTTATTCACCTGCACGCCTGTTAATGATGTGCGAGGCAACAAACGCGAGTTAAGCATTGGTTACGGCCTGCACAATAGCGCCCTTGGCTCCTTGATCCAGACCGTCCAGCTTAGCCATATCCTCCTTATCAAGCTCGAAACCGTAGATGTCGACATTGCCAACAATGCGGGATGGTGTGTCGCTCTTAGGAAGAGGAACGTAGCCCTTTTGCAGACTCCATCGGATGAGAACCTGGTTTGGCTCCTTGTTGTGCTTCTTGGCGATGCTGGCAAGCGTCTCGTCGTTGGCTTTCTCGTTGCGGACGATCGGGCAGTAGGCTTCGACGACGATGTTCTTGGACTGGCAGTACTCGACGACCTCACGCTGTTGACACCAGGGGTGGAGCTAAACGTATCTATCAGTCCGGTTGTGCAATCAAATGAGAGGTTTGACAAACCTCAATCTGGTTGACAGCAGGTAGGCTGGCTTTGCTATCAATGGAGGCGAGCTCATCGATGTGCTGGATGCCGTAGTTGCTGACACCAATGTCGCGCACGATGCCCTTCTCCTGCGCCTGCTTCAGCGCGAGCCACATCAACTTCCTCGCCTCCTTGCCTCCGTTGGGGCTGTGGATGAGGAACAGGTCTGCGTAGCCATCCTTTCCGGCAAGCTTCTCAACGCTCTCGGCGACCTTCTTGTATGTAGACTCGACGTCTTCTCCAGCGCTTAAGATCTTGGACGTGATGTACACGTCTTTCCGAGGAAGCCCGCTTTCCTTCAGCGCTTGACCAACTTGCTCTTCGTTCGCGTAGTACTGGGCTGTGTCGATATGACGGTATCCTGCCTCGAAGGCCTTCTTGCATGAGGCAACGCAGACGTCCTTTGGAGACAGGTAGACTCCGAAGCCGATTTGTGGAATCTTGTACTGCGAGTTCGGAAGACTCAGAGTCGAATTGATGTTCAGAGAGTTCGCCGACATGGTGGATAGCGGGGTAGCGATGAATGGAGAATACTTGAGTGGACTTGTCAGCAATGGACGAGTACTGATGTGCCGAAGAGCAGAGTGCGATGAGCGGAGGAATTGAGAAGGTAGGAGCATACCAAGTTGTTGAGTGAAATGGAGTCGCCATCAAACCTCCTCTAGGTAGCTCTAGACGCATACTGCAGTCGCTCCTGCAGTCGTGATGTCACTGCTTGCAGGTCCATAGTTCGAGAGTGGGTCCGAATACTTTCTGGGCCTGGAGGAGACTGCGTAGGCGAGTATGTGGCAGTTCCCTTATACGATGGCTAGTCGCGCAATGAGTATCGTATTGTGCGAGAGCGCGTATGTCCGAAGTCAAAAGTTCATTTGACGCGTCTTCCTTGCGCGACCGTGACGGCGCAGTTCGCGCTAAGATCTGCGACCTCCATAAATCACCGGCCCCCCTCCACAGCCGTCGCGTGCTTCGAGATTTGTACCATGTTTTCTCACCATCCAATGTGTGTCGCAACACATCCTACCCTGCTCACCGGCGATGTCAATGCACCAAATTTACTTATCGTCCAAAAGACTCCCATCTTTCTTCCCTCCAGGCGGCGAGACACATACCACTCGCAATCCTCTTCTCCCGAACCCTAGCAAGTTGTGCATCGAGTAGCCGGGAGATTTGATTCTTCCCAACATACGGTGCAAAGTCCCGACAATCGGCCATGTATGTCATTGCACACTGCATGATTGTTTGTCATTGGTTCTCGCCAACAGGTCGGTACCCCGCCATCTCATGTTAAAATTGGGCGCTGGTATGCCCATCAACGTGCGATGCCATACAACAGCTCAGAGTGACACGAAATGGTCACGATCAGGACTCACAAGACCTCGTAGTCCCTGAGGACGCTACACAGGGAACACAAATACCTTGAGGAAGCAAGAGCAGTGGTTCTTTTTTTCGTCGAAAGCATTGTACCGCGTTCGGAGACCAGGCGGTGAGACTTTTCTTCATAAGCTGCGAAAGCTCATCTGTGCCAGAGAACTTGTCTATATAGTCTTTCATTTGCAGCCGTGTTGATATCTTAGAAGGCAGTCAGAGAGGAACAAAATAGTCACAGAAAACTGTGTCAATGGCTGTACAATCAAGGCCGATGAGACGGTATGCGTCCTCCACGATTGGGATATGAATGGCATTCTTATATCTATATATTAGGTCTCACATTCCACCTATCCAAACCCTGGTATGTTCGAGACGAAAGAGTCGGCGAATAGAGACGTATACCACTCACACCGATACAGGCCAAGAAGAAACACGTCTATATATGGCATTGTGTGAGTGGACGCCTCATGCGATTGTTCGCGACCCAGACCCTGACTTTATAGTGTCAATGCGGGAAATCAAGCATACCTATTTCGTATGCCGGCTGCCCGGGATGTGGTTATGGAAGATGCGCATACTGCACGACAACACGGGTCCAGGTTCGAGCATCTGCCGCTGGATCTCACTCCTATGTTGGGGGTCATTTGACCTGTTCGAGACGAGGGCTATCATCACGAACTTTGGGTAGCAGGACAACATCCCGGTCTGCTGCGTATGATAGTCAACCCAAGCCTTTATCGTCGGGTATGAACATACAGAGACGGAGCCAACAAACGTTGGACACGATGTCTATTGTTGACAGTACCGTGGTTCTGCAGCAGGGCGTACCGGGTGCCAGACATTGGGAAGAGAAACCGGTGAGTTACCACGCGATTACCAGGTCTCTGCGATGTGTCATAGCTTGGCGTACCTTCCTAACGCGTGTCTAGCTTCGATACGACAGCCTTTTGAGGCAGTGAAAAGACAGCAGAGCACTCTGTTGTCATCGACTACAAATATCCCCAAAACGAAACAACAGTTCCAGCCCTATTCCCAACTTCTCTCTCAAATTCTGATCTGATGACTTATACAACGCTTGCTATGAAGCACACCCGCGTTCAGAGCGATCAATATGAGTTGGCACGTATCAGTTTCTCATTTCCTAATGTGGCTGGCTATGATATGCCCAGTGCTTTAGCCTCGGATTTCCCAACCATCTAAGTGCCGCTCATCGGTATGCACTCTCGTCGCAATCTTTCACCTTCAGTATATGATTCGCAAGGCAATCTGCAACAGTCGAGAGTGCTGGCGCAGTCCAAATGCCCAACGTCCTTCATGCAGTGAGATTCGGCTATCGCCGGAGCCCAACGCCACTGATCGCACCACAGCGCCGGTCCTCGTTGGCCCTGTGTCGCACAAGACTGAGCTCGTGGTAATTGAATCTAAAGGTTAGTCTCCTGCATTTCAGTACTCCTCGTACCGTCCGGAATTTGCCTTACCGGCAGAAGTCGGAGGCTAATATGAATTGTAACGCGGCGGCTACACGTTATGCAGCATAACCACTCACGCCTTTTGAAAAGAAGGCAAGATGGAAGCCTCACGAAAACCTCGTGACGCAATAACGCCCGCAGCTAGCTAGGTGTTCAATTCCGACACCGCAATGTGCTTGCCCATGCGCTCACACCGTGCCGTGTGACCATGAGACAGCAAAGAGGATAGACATGATCCTTGACAGCTGAGAACGATGGCAACACCGCGCAACGTGTCGTGCGTTCAACTCCGTACAGTGCTCAGAAGCATATAAATTAGCCTCCGAGTATCTCTTCAAAGATATCGAGATCCGGCTTCGCACTTCACCTTTTTTGGCATGTTGAGTGTGTCAAAGAAAATGCAATTCGTGTATCTTGGAAACACCTTTCCAACGCGAATCATTTCAGATGACACATGACCATTACAAAGACGGGCAAGCTGCTCCCACAGCACCTTCGTGCAGGTATGTGCACCGCAACGAGGAGCCCCTTGGTTAGAGAGCTTCACTGACTCAAAAAGGGATGCCATGTCTTTAGGTGGCCTTGTTAGCGAGAAACCTTTCTTTTTCTCATTTGCAAAGCGATGGAGCGATTCTTACGACAATGACTCCATTCCCAAGGAGGATCTTCCCTATGTGAAGGAGCTGCGACTTCTGCTATCGGAATTTGAAGTCGGAAGCATTGAGCTTTTTATGCGTGTTTACGAAGACGACTTCATCTCACCACTCCTAGAGACCATAATCCGACTCTACGGCAACATCAAGAAGATTGACCTCGATGAGCCCACCAAGGAAACCATTTGGTTGGACGACCGGACTTATAGCGCATACTATCCAAACTCATCTACTTCGCCCCCTATCGCGGAACTTCGCGATGGCGGATTGGCTCGTCTTCCAGAACAATCCCGGAGCAACGTGGACCAAGATGCTGCTACGAACTCCAATCCAGGTGTCAGAGGAGACGCTTACTCACAGAGCGCTTCAGCTCGATACTCCCCTACCTCGAGATGTCCCAGGGTACCATTGACAGCGAAGATGTTGTACACTTTCCTTTCGGAAGAGGTATTTACTCCCCAATTTCCCGACTTTATTGGGTTTCTTGTTTGGATCTTAAAGGGTCACCAAAGCCACAACACCGTCTCCACGACAGCGTGCTCTCTGGTGCTATTGGTGTTACAAAAGAACTATCAACCTATGCCACTAGACCTGTTTTCAACTCCACCCTTGACGAGCCGTAACTAACCGATCATATCAGCGATTCAATGCCGAGAACATGCCAGACTCGGACCGGCGACTGATGTGAGTACCGCCAACTGTGGTTGGACTACAATTGGGCTGACGCCGACATGCAGCTTCATATTGAATCCTGATGGCCACGACTTTTTGGCGCTCATTGAGACAGCTTCGCATCATCAGTATGAGGCTCTCACAGATGTCATCGTTAAATACCATACTCTCCGCCCATCGATGAGCATTAGCCTTTCCGTAAGATATCCTACGTGTCAGCTTGATGGCCAGCTTATTGATCGATAACTAGACAAAAGGGTTTTCTTCTTATCAACTCAGCTTCCATCTGCCCTTCTTTGCGATGCGAACAGATACATTCCACGGAAAGCGAACCAATTTCAAACCCCGTCGAGAGTGGATGGATCTGTCATTTGTAGCCCAAGTGCTGCCCGAAACAAGTAAGGCCGGCGAGCTTGGTCTCTATCCCGCTCAGATTTCCTTCACGATCTGTGGTACCAGTGTCAAGCAATATGTTGCTTATGGATTCGAGGATGCCGAATTTGACGCAGACCGAGAATTTGGTGAGAACGAGTTCTCGGTGGATGGAAAGCACGCCGATCAAATGACCAAGGGGGAGGAGGACGCAAACCGCCCGATATGGGATCCGAGAGAGTACTTTTTGTTGGTCTTGAGTCATCGGATCCGACAAATACGCCTAGAATGGGAAGGGTTCATCTTGACTGTAGAGCTTGCTTTCACCATGCGCATGTCTCACCCTTTGAGATGGCATCATCGCCTGCTTGGCGTCTTACGCAGGACATTGCCGGTTCTGGAAGACATACTGGATGTGTGGGACATCTTCCTCGGAGCAAACGGAGACTACCATTACTTTTCTAATTCAACCGCCGGATCCGATGCTTCGAGATTCCCTAAGATGCTTCACAACATGAACAGAGAATTCGAAGAACTGAGGCGGCTCCATAGAACATTGTCGCGCGTACAGAGTCAGTGCGAAAAAGAAGAAACGTCAACCGGGGCTCGAATGATGCAGCAAAACAACTACATCGCAATGCTCATGGTGCAGTGGCTCGGTCCGCTCGGTCTTGTTATATCCTTCTTCGCTATTGAAAAACCCATCATGGACTTCAAGCACAACTTGGTTTCCTTTATCGGGTTCAACTTGGTCCTAATGTTGTTGGTTCATCTTGTACGGGTCGTCGGGGAAGGACACATGTACCGACCCCAATGGTGCGGTACTATTGCAACTCGGGTGGAGAGCATGAGGTACACCCGTCGCGCGAATGTCACGAAGACCGCAACGAGCGAGCATGTCATACAGCGGAGGCAGACTTATTCGTAGTCCGAGAAGACGGAGACGTAGCGGCAATGTATATGGACTCGTCCAAGAGGTCTAAAAAACCATTCGAGTACCGCGATGATCTTGTGACGTACGGCCGCATAAGGAGACTTAAGCTAGAATGTGTGAAGGAAGATGCGCCATTGGTCGCATAAGAATGGCAACACCTACCCCGCCCTGTTGCATACGAGCGGGCGGGTGATGGGACGCATCAGTATCCTACCGATGATACGCGCATACCCAAGATACTGCATACCTTCATCTCATTGATCATGGCTGATGAGGTGCATGAGGCAGACCAATTGTCGAGAGACACGACAGTCCAAGGTTCGCTGTCCAAGCCGACGTGGCAGCGTGCGCCTCCACGATGAGGCTGAGAAGATTCACCGGTGAGCATTTCAGGCTGTTAGACCCATTCTGAGTGCCATAAGGCTCTATCTTGTCTGATTCATCGTTCGGTACCGCATCGTTTTCCGGAAGCTTCGTTTTGAAGAGCAAAACTGGAACACTTTTCAGACGCTATCGTCAACAAGCAACGTAGCAAAGGAATACGTCGAAATGGAGGCACTCGAAGATGTGCTCAGTGCTTTGAATCTCAATGTTCCCATGCCTGGGGTCAACAACGCGGAAGTGCTTGCGAATCCGCTCGACGTGTACCGCACCTACCTTGCCGAAGTACTGGCAGACGCTGTCGGCTGTGACATCAACGTAGCTTACAAATCCATTCAATGGCCAAACAACATCTTCAATGGCGATCTGGCGGTCATACTTCCGAAGCTTCAGCCTGGTGCTAAAGCTGAGGAAGTGGCTGTGGTACTGATGAAGAAGGTACGTACCTTCAGTGCTTGACGACGTATGACATAGCAATCGCTAAGTCAGCCTAGTTCCCAATCGACCATCCCCTCTTCGTCCTGCCATTTCTAGAGGGTGTTCATTTCCGTGTTTTCGTGAAGCCAGAGTCGTTAACCCGCCTCCTCTTACCGTACATCTCAAGCCGGAAAGATGCTTACGGATCCATCCCGTCTCCTGGGGATGCGCGCAAGAAGCTCGTAGTCGAGCTCTCCTCCCCGAACATCACCAGCGAGTTCCAAGGAAAGCACCTGCGAAGCACAATCATCGGCGCATGCATCGGCCGACTCTACGAGGCGATGGCATGGGACGTAACGCGCATCAACTATCTCGGCGACTGGGGCAAGCCGATCGCGTTGTTGTACGTTGGCTGGTCGAAGTACGGCTCGGAAGAAGCGTATGCGGCGGATCCGGTCGGACACCTGCTGGAGGTCTACCACAAGATTGAGGAAGACTTCAAGCCGGAACAAGCGGCGAGCAAGGCGGCGCGTGACGAAGTTGCGAAGGAAGGCGAAGACAAAGGCGAAGCGCAGGCCGAGATCGAAAGCAAGGGCATCTTTGCAGAACGCAATGAGGCTTTCAAGAAGCTGGAAGAGGGTGACGAGAAGCTTGTGGCCTTTTGGAAGCGTGTGCGAGATGCCAATATCGACAACTACACCAGGTTCTACGAGCGCCTTGGTGTGCGCTTCGATGAGTACTCTGGCGAGTCGCAGATCAAGCCTGAGACTATGGTGGAAGTAGAGCAAATGCTGAAGGAGAAGGGTATCTCGGAAGAGAGTGGAGGATCTCAGATTATCCACATGCAGAACATAGGTGCGAAGGCTGGTACGGCCATCATTCGCGACCGCTCTGGTAGCAGCACATACCTCCTCCGAGACCTTGCCGCAGTGTTGGAGCGTTCGAGGAAGTACTCGTTCGACAAGATGGTGTATGTGGTTGCCAGCGACAATAGCGTCCACTTTACTCAGCTCATCAAGGTGTTGGAGGCGATGGACATGAAAGAGCTCGCCGACAAGCTTCAACACGTCAAATTTAGCGAGGTGTCGAAGATGGCGGCGACGCTTGGCAGAGGGTATAAGCCGCAGGGTATATTGGACGCATGCGAGGAAGCGATGACTGCGTTGTCGGAAGCCGATGCCGAGAAGCTCGAAGTGGTAGGTGGGTTGGATGATGTTAGGGAAGGACTGGCGACTTCGTCACTTCTCGTGCAAGAGCTCTCAACTCGCCTGACCGCAACACATGCCTTCGATACCGGTGCAATGGCGTCCTTCAAGCCTGGGTCGGGCCCAGATCTGCAGTACTGGCTGACCAAGCTCCGCCAATTACTCAAAGGCGCTGACGCAGCAGCTGAACTCTCGGATGAAGATTACGAAGTGTTGGCTGAAGAAGACCCGGCCAATCTTCTGCGCATTCTGGCCCAGTACCCGGAGGTCGTGAATGCGACCTACCATTCGCTCGAGCCGGCTGGTGTTGTTACTTATCTCGCCAGTGTGACTGAGCAGCTTGCCGAATGTCTTCCCGAGGATGCTGAGGGGGATCAAGATGCGAAGGTCACCCCCGGTTTCGCTGCGCTCTATGAAGCGACTGCAGTCGTGCTGGAGAATGGCATGAAGCTGCTAGGGTTGGCACCGATTGCACAGTCATTGCCGGAGAGAGCGGATACGCCGGTGATGGGATGACGGGATGGTTCTTTCGTGTTCAGATTGTCAATGTGTGGGGTCGGGTTATGGGATTGTCGTCGACGCCGTCGACCTTCAGCGTACTTGGGCGTTTCTGGGCTGTTCACTGCGCTGCTGTTTGATAACGACGTAATGAATGATGACTAGCGTTTTCCAAGTCTGCCTGATAATGATCCAACGATGAATGACTTGCTGTCCTAGCCCATGTCGAGGTCCACCCTGCTGTCTGCAAACTCTTCGTGTCCGGCAAACTTCGACCCCTCAATTTTCGTCGGAAAAGTTTTACTGAAATTCTATATGTCTAATTGCCTCATTCTTCCATCAATTTCCGATATGGTCTAGTGGCTAGGATTTGCCGCTCTCATCGCAGAGTAAGCTCGCTGTTGCAGCGCAGTGCCGGCAAGGCCCGGGTTCGATTCCCGGTGTCGGAATATCTCTTTTTGCCATTTGCAAAATGTCTTTCTTTTTACCCAACGATGCGGACACCCCTCACGGGCGTGGGCTTCTTTTTCCACACATGTTGCGACATGACTGCACACGTGCACGCCCAGATTTCAGCTGCTACATAGCCCTCACACTATCTTCTCTGTTGTGACATGAGTGCGGTGCGCTGAAGTCGGGTTAATGCGTGTCACGACCCCAACCTCGCACCTGGGCACCCTTCATCATCACACTCCCCTTGTCCCCACCGCCTCATGCCAAAAAGAAACCAGTCGGCTTTGCTAGAGTTTACGTTCGCTGGAAAAAGCAAACAACATTCTGGAGCGATGTAGACACCTCGAGGGCTGGTTCTGGTCTTTCCTCGGACAGAGTGCCACCATGCTACCGTAACATCTTTGTCACTATGAGTCGATCACAGTTCAGCCACGCGCGCCCCTGAGCTTAGGAAGCAACAAATTCAGGTAGCGCGTCTCGCCGCCTCTCGTATTTGCTGATGCATCATCACAACGCCAGGCACACCGCGGCTGCGATTTGTCGCCTAACATTGCAAGGCATGGTGGCGTCGGTAACACCATGAAGTATTGATTTCGACAGGTAGGAAATGTATAACTTCAGGCCCAATCCGCTGTGACAGCGATGCCTCTCCATCAGCCGTCGCCAGTCATCCAACATGCGTCCCTCCAGCTACATCCCGCTCCTCGCCGGCGCTGCCATGGCGCAAGAGTCCGCGACGATCCTCAACTTCTTCCAACTCGACAGCACCCTCACCGTGCTCGGTTCCGATGCGAGCGCAACAACCTACGAGAACAGCTGCCCGTCAGATGGAGTCGGCGTGTCAGTCGTGCCGTCTGATCTTCGTACGCCATGCACCCGTCGCGAGAGATTGCACTAACACTGCCAGTACCGATCACAGACGACCCCTCCGAGACTCCCTCGCCTACACCCGCGCCTCGCATACGCCGCCAGGACGATGATTCCAACGAGGACTACTCCTTCTGCGAGCCTTACACCATCCTACAAGGCCCTGAGAAGTACGAGATGCACCTCACGGACCCGACTCCAGGCGCGTGGACAATGGATATGGCCTGCAGCTGGCAGGGCGCAATGTCAACGGCAGACTTGACCTGCGACGTCACCCAGAGCGGATACGTTCCGGACCAGGCCGACCAGGTCGCGTCCACAAGCGTCTTGTCGCAGAGCGAGATACAGGAGATGGAGGCGTACCAGGTGGTTGCACTAGTCACCGCAACTGGTGCGTCTTCCCCAGGATCGGCCTCAGCGACTGGAGCGCCATCACCTACTGGCTCGGCATCAGGAACAGGAGCGACATCGCCTTCGAGGTCTCAATCCGGGGCCGCTTCAACACCGAGCACTGGTTTGGCACCTGCTGGATCTGTCCCGACTGCGATGGCCATGGTGGGTGCTGTGGGTATTCTCGCGGCAGCCGTAGCTCTGTGAGATGATGCATACATTCTCTTGTATTTGTCGCATTAGAGCGCCTGGTAAGTAACAGCATGATTCGTGTAATTTGAATTTCATCCTATTTCCCACTACGTCCTCATATATTCATCGGGTGATCCTTCCATTTCTACTTGCGCATCTCGTAGTTTCGTACTGTACATGCTCGAGGTGAATGCGGAAGCAGCGGGCAATCCGGTCGCGCTCGCACGTGGACACGCGTCGTAAAACACGCGACCTGCAGCGACAGTCACCCAGGGTTGAACCCCACATTCAAACAGCACACTCGTTTGCTGGCTGTACATATTAACGTCCACACATGAGACCATCTCTTTGTCTCACCTTCTTTGTAGTACCACCATTATATGCAACCCTCGTCACATCCCTTGGTACCCGAACGCCAGCAGCTACAACACTAAAGATGCCAGCCGCTGTATCTGAAGCGCATATCGTCACCGCAAACCCAAAGTCGCGACTTTTCAGATCATTCACACGACATGCCTCCGCGCCTACGAGCCCATTGACGCTGGAATTTCGCCTACCAAGTGAGGGAAGCTTTAGCGCCAACCACGAACACGCCCTTCCATCGCCAAAGTCCCCACAGACAACGTCGAGATCGAAGCAGGGTCTACTAAGTGAACTTTCCTGGGCGCAATCATTTACAGCTCGCCTCCGCCGTGACCGGGACAACTGGCGCTCGCTCGCTCTGGAGCAAGAAATGGATCTCAAGGCCGCCCATCAGGACCTTGAGCACCAAACTTGCGTCATCGCTGAGACCGAGCAGGAAAACGCCAATCTCCGATTCCGCCATGAAGAGGATAGGACAGCTGGCGGGCAACTCTACTCGCGCTTCCAGGTCCTCGTCTCCGCGCACGACAAGCTTGTCGATCAGCTTAACGATGCCATGCGTACCATCGCCCGTCTTAAGAAGAGCGACCGTGCCAAAGACAAGGTGCAGCAGCGCAATCTGAGCTTGAAGGCCACGCTGCATAGGTACACATCTCAGGGCGCCTCGGCCACTACACAAGCCGCCGCAGACACCGAGTCTACGCTGAGAGAAGCACTGGCGTTGGCTAATGAGCGCATTGAAGAGCTTGAGACCAAGGGCGAGGCTATGCTTGACGCATTAGAGAAGCGCAACGATAGCTGTGGTAGTGACCAGGAAGGAGAGATGGGAGAGAGAAACGTCGAAGCAGATCTGCTGGAGGCCGAGGTCGCGTTCCGCGGTGTTGTCGAGGATGAGTCTTTCAAAGAGCAGAAAGTGCTTTGGCTGGATCTGCTGGAAGATTGAGGAAATGTGAAGGTAAGAGCATGAGCAGATGTATTCAATCACCGGTACATGACAACACGCATTCAGTCGCTTTCGGCCAACTGCCTGCCACGACAGAACAGTGGGAGTATCCTTGGCGCGCTCAAGGTCGTTAGACTTTGGAGGACTGGATGCATGCATCGCATCACCGCCAGAAGTGTACCATCAGGCCAAGGTTGACGCCTTTGTCGAACAGCGTCACACGTATCCTACCCAACTGAAGGCAATCATCACGCACGTCGTAAGAAAGCGCAGTCTGTACGGTAAATGAGAAGGGAAGCAGCGCACGTGGAACGATGGGACCTAGCGACTCGTTCACCAAATAACATGGAAATGAATCTATTCGCTATGTTTCGAATCATTAGCCAAGTCATGTCTTGACCTGCTGACAACTGACTCCTCCCGAGCCATGCGCTGAGCGTGCGCCTATTGCTTGGCCACGGTCATTCCTGCTCGTATTTCGCATTCCCAGCCGGATTAGAAGGCCGAACATACTTAACCTCGCGATTTTCGTCGCCGAGAAAATTAACGTTTATCACTATCGTGTTTAAGGTGTCAGACATCAGTTGCAACATTTCCGTTCTGCCTGCTTAGACCAGATCCACTGCCGTCTCGCTATGACACCACCGCCTCCAACTCCAAGATCTGGTATGAGGGCCTGTGCTCTGCCCCATGCTACGTACATTACACAACTAACTCTTCAAAAGCGCAAGAGGAAGACACAGCCTCATCGGCCGGTCAAGCTATGCGCACGTCGCAAGAAACAGACGCAGACACCGATGCAGCCACACTTGTCAACGAGCCTAGGAGGACGCCAGGAACATCGGATAGGGCAAAGTTTGTTGAATCACTGTTGCTAAGTTTGTGTTTGGTCATTTAGACTAGGAGTAGATATCGTGCATGCGTTAGACTTGTATATGGACCCTGTAGAAAGAAAGATGTGATGAGGAAGACTTCGACCGGGCGACTACATGACACTTTGGGTGAATAGATGGTTCATCATCACGTAGCGAGAGGTGCGACTGTATTGCTGTGCTTCTTCAATGTTTCAACTGTCAGTAGGTTTAACGAAGATGTATCTTTTCTGTGTAGCGAGTTGACATCAGCGGAGTCCATGTATTCGTTGTATACCCTACTTAAGATTGAGAAGATTCGCCCAGAGTGACATGTCACTCAGAGCTCCCATGGATATCTCAAGCATCTTGCGTCGCGTTATCCTAGGCACCGCTACTCTAGCCCTTACATCTAAGGATGATCGACATCAAGATGTGTATATGATAGTCTTGTTACGGACCTTTCTACGCATTTACACCAGCTTACACGCTGTCTATACCCTACAACGCCTCTAAAAAGGCTGTGAAACTTGATCAAAAAGCGGGGGAGAGCACTTCTTTCACTTGTACTGAGCTGATATGCGTAGCGCGTCTCGATCTCGATCTCAGCTAATGTATATATTAATTATAGTGGTGTATTCCCCGTCGAACACACATTAGCGGACCGCACTTTGCGGCTTGGTCTACTTGTAGTCCCCGGTGACACTTTGTCACAATGCTAGTGGAGTGTTCGGCGTTTTTTGTTTGTTCAGAGTTCGATCGCGAATATGATCCTCTTCTTTTTATCAAATGAGTCACCGCGATATTCTGTTCGAAAAGTACATATTCGATACCCTGTTGTAGCTAAAGTCCAAGAGGCGCGCGCAGCGAGATGCCCCGTTACAAATCCCTCTACTCCTTTACACCAGTCCGCATTGATGTCTACAACCAATTCGATAGAAGATGAAAGAGAATATGCTCATAACTTTTGCATGTAGTCCATCCTTTGAAGGCGTAATCTGACTAGTACCGCGGCTCTCTCGGCGTATATTGCTGATGTTCAGCATAACGTGGCTCCTCCATCTCATGCATGGAACGCTCTTCCCGCTCACGTGTACGATCTTCGGAGCGACGAGAATGGTGTTGACGCTCCTTTCGGGGGGATCGTGGAGTACGCTGAGTCCCCCATAGTGACTCGCCGTGATGTCTGGAGTGGCTGCGTTGGGAGTGCCGTCGCTCAGACTGGAAGTACGCTTGTTCGGCGGCTTGGACTGGCGCTTCTTTCGGGCGCTCGGCTCTGCTTTGAATGACTTCCTCTTCGTCGAATGCGGGGCGACGGGTGTGCTGCTGCGTCGTTGACTTTGGCTTTCCTGCACTTTTCCACTCGCGGAATTCTTTAATGCAGATTCCTGCGACGATGATCTCAGAATTGCTGTTATTTGTTAGTTTAAGAGTCGATGAGAAAGTTACCCAACTCACACGATGACGATGGCGATGACGACTACGACCCAACTAAGACCGCATGTTGGCCCTTTGCAATAGCTGAGATTGGTTTGAAACATCAAACCGGCAACTACACTCCAGAACACAACCTCAATACAGCTGATTATGGCATGCGCTTTGTAACTGTGCCAACGTTGGAAACGTGGACTATGCTCCGAAAGTATGAGGTATATGAGTAGGATGAGGGATTTGGCACCCTAGGTACAAGAATTAGTAACCAGATTGATACTCAGTGGTATAGCCAGATTAGGAAGTTTCAACATACCATGCCCAACGCATATGTGCTTGCTCGTGTGCGCGGAACATTGGTAATGAACAGACGAGGAAGCGTAAGGGCAATGGCGAGAATAACGAGAACGACTTGAGCGATATGAATAGGGAACTTGAAGCGGCTGCTAAAGACGGGCTTATCAAGGAGATTGAACACTCCCATGTTGAGGTTGTGAAGAAGATGGTGTTGATTTCGTCAATGTCTCGTACAAGTCGTATCGTAGTTCGGTCGTAGTTTTGATCGTAGTGGTCGGACTTAATCTTCGTTGTTGTGAGATGGTACAATGAAGTACGTCAAGCATAATATACATTTTCTGCTTGTTAGTACCTGCATCAACGCGTACGTCTGTATGCTCCGCCGTCTCGTACGCGTTGTTACATTTCTTCTTGGCAACGTCAAAGTCCGAGTACGGTGCGATACGAGTGCGAGTGCGGGTACGAGCAAGAGATGTGATTGGTGCGGACCTGCCAAGCCCACGTGCTTTCAGCCCTACCAGTCCTCATTCTTCGACTGACCAGGTTAGACTTGCGAGTAGTTGCGGACGAAACAAGAAGCACCTTCTATCGTTCTCAACTCATGGTAGACCCTGTGGTTGTAATCTTGGTTGAGATACGGAAGAGTAAACATTCGAAGCCAGTTATCACATTGGTCAGGACATCCAGTAAGGTTTAGTTAAACTCGCTCTCGCATTTGGGGTATATTCTCAAGATTACATCGTCCTCGTCGGCGGCGATTAATTCGGCCCCGTCGGTTGCGGTCCATGCACATGAGGGTTTCCAGGCATATTCGGAACGCCCTCAGGACCAATCATTGTCCCAATATCCGCCCAATTCCACTCATGGATGTTGTTGATGGTAAAGTCCATAAACTGCATCTGTGTCGTTCTATCAAACCGGGCATTAGGATGCATTGAGGGCGCCATGTAGGCCTGGTCTGGGTATATACGACCTGGCATAGGATCCGCATACATATACGTGCCCACGCCGGGTGGTGACTGATGGTACATGTGCGGTACTGCATCAGGCTGTGACAGTTGCTGCGCTGGGAGTGAGCTCTGCGGCCCGGTGTCGTGGGTCTCCATTTCCGGTTCCGCAAATCTGACGGGCGAAGCTAGAGAGTCGGCCATGGAATGCAACTCTGGGACGAGGGAAGCGAACTTCTCAATAGTACCAGGCATGAATGGATTTCGCCTGTGTCGCTGTGCCAGATCTGCGAGCTGAGACAACAAAATCCTGGACTCGGACATGTCCGTACCACCCAGCTTATTCAAGCATACCAGATCAAGGACCAGTACCGAGCTCGATGCAAGCGTGTACCAAATGTCACACGAGTAGACGGCATCGAACTTGCCTAAAGATTCGAGTCTCAGCAGTATGTTAGCCAGAGATCGGCCAGACTCTGAGCAAGCTTCTGCCATGGCTGTGAGAGCAGAGTTTGTGGAGTCTTGGCCAGTTTTGGTCAGGGTAGAAGCGCGGGCAAGCAGGGCTGAGCGGCACAGGACAATGATGGTATAATGGTATACACAGTGCATCAGCATCAGGGCTCGTTGCATGGGCGAGGCTTCTATGGCTTCGTATTGGAGATGCCGGGGCAACTGCTCCTTCCATCGGACTAGATCCCGGAGCACGCCGGCGGCGGGTGATAAGGGGCCAACGTAGGATTCATCGCTGGCGTTGGACTTGACGGTCTTGGGCGCGCGACATGTCAGGCCCAGCAGTATGAACAGGCGCGTTGAGCATGCGAAGAACTCCGGGGGGCCGCCGATAATCTTCTCGTTAGGGGCGCTGGTCTTTGCGCCAGGATTCTCAATGGCACTCGGACGGTCGTAGGAGGATACCTGCATCGTCTCGAAAGCGTACAGCGTCCACCACAGTATCTTGCGCGACTCCCTGGCCAGCGGTGTTTGGCCAGCGTTCACTTTGTCCTGGTGTAGTCCGATGGCGTGCGCTATACGGACGGCGGCACCAGTCAGGTTCCAGCAAGCGTCCCGGTGGTTCGTGTTGTGGAGGTGTATCGCAGCCAGTAGCAGGGCCTGTATGGCTGTGATGCTCGAGGTGAAGATGACAACAGGAAGGAGCGTCTGGGTCCTCTGCCACCACAGCCGCTCCTGGTCTTCTGGAAAGGGAATGCGCGCCACGCGTCGACCGAGCAGCAGCACACACGTAAAGGTGCACAGCCATGCCGGGTCTGCACTCCTGGGGTTGGCCAGCCACGCGTCGTAGGCCTCGCGGAACGAGGGCTCATGCAGGACGGGAAAGTCCGGGTGTATGTGTTCGAAGAAGGCGCGTATCAGCAGTTCGAGGTTCGGGCGCTCGCTGGGGTTCAGGTGGCGGCCGTGGACCGCGACGGAGTTGTGGGCGGTCGGGGCGGCGGTCGGGCCTGGCAGGCTGCGCTGGTCGTCGCTGCCGGTAGGCGACGATGCCTGGGCTGCGTTCTTGCCAAAACTAGAGGTGGAGCAGTCAGTCGATGTCGCCATAGGCTTCATGCAGGGGCGTTACTGACAGTACAAACTCGCGTAGGGCGCCGCGTCCCACGAGCGTGCGCAGCTTGATGTGGAACGACAGCGAGCTGCCCGGCCCAATGTACTGCACCTGGCCCTGCTGGTCGGGGAGCAGCGACACCGTGTCGTCGCCTTCACCCTCGCCGCTGTCGTCCTGGTCGCCCTGCGCGTCGTTGGCCGCCGCGTCTGGCAGCGGGATGCCGTGCGACGTCGCGAGCTGGCGCAGAGCCTCGGTACTCGAGACATCGGCTTCCGGCAACAGCCCCTTCACCAGCGCCTCGAGCAGCGCCAGACGGGTGCCCAGGCCCTCGACGCTGCCATACAGGCGCTTCTTGCGCGGCTGCGTCGTCAGGCACTCGATGTTGTGCACGATGCAGTAGCGACACGCCTCCTGGCCGGGCTCCTTGCGGCACTTCTGCTTGCGCGACTTGCACTTGTCGCAGCTCGTCTCGGTGCGCTTCCGCTTGTCCAGCGGTACGCGGCGCGAGCTGCTTGCACTTGCATGGCTGCTACTCGTGGGTGCGGGTGTGGAGGCCGACATGGGCGTGGACGGGTAGGTGCGGCGGATTTCAAGGCGCAGGGAGAAGAAGCATGGCGCACATGTCGCGAGAGCGCTGCGAACGCATTGAGACGCTCTTGTGCCGGTGGAAGATGCGACTGCAACTTTACGATGATGATGCAGGGGACTCCGATCTTGCCTGCGCTATCGCGGTCTCCGGTCCATCGGTAATTGAGGCTGCCGTCTCCTCTCTGGTGGGCCTAACCGGCGAGCTGCCTTGACCATTTCTTCAAGCGGACACCACAGGCACGTCCTCTTCCAAATCATCGAATCCGTCCGTCGTTGCCCCACCGCAATCGATGGCTGAATACCCATCGAGCGGGAACCATTTCAAGCTGAATGCTGGTCCTGGTCATGGCAACCCCCTCATCGGTGCCTGTACCAGGTACGCTTGATGCGGCTAACAGACGGACAGCAGCCGCCGAACACGATCAAGCATATCTCGGCCGTGCTAGAGTACCCCTCGAGATATGGCTAAAGACTCCCATCCTCCCTGAACAAGATTGACCAGAGCAGGGCTGCTTGATCTGGTAGGCACGAAGTCGAAAGAAAGACTGAGCCGGTCACTGTCCGGTTGTGATTGGTTCAAGCGTGCGGCAGCTGGCTCACCTTCCCTCATGGGGTTGTGCAGGTACTTCCGATTACTCCACAAGCATGACTCGGCAGCGTGACCCAGTGCGGCCAAATGCCATAGCCACTGAATCGAGTTAGCAAAGATCCAGCGTTCCAGACATCGCGAGACCCACATGGCACCCATGCCGAAGACGACTAGAACGACCGCATTTTGTCGCAATCATGTGCTCCACTGCCCTATCGCCTGTGCCGGTACCACAAACGCTTCCATCTCACTAACACCGCTCAGGTACCACGGCCATGTTCAGCATATTGGGATCCACCCCCTTCACCACCGTGTCTCCACTTTCTCTTCTGTAGAAATGCATACCACGAGCACGGCTGTGTACATCATCGCCGTTAGCGATCAAGGATCCAACGGCGACGCAGATAACAGCACCACGGAGCGTCGTCGTGAAGTCTTCTTGACCTCTAGAGAAATAACCCCCCTAGCTAGTCCGCTGGTCGCCGGATAGCAGACAGGCCTTATATCGCAGGTCCAGATGGTATCTTCCAACACTGCAAGAGAGTAATTCCGCATGTCGTGGCAGTAGGCGAGTTACGAAATAAGGTCCCCACGCTGGCACAGACTTCCCCGTACGCGTTAGCATAGGCGCGAATGAGCACGAAAGGTAAGACGAAGGATTGTCGTCGTGGTGCCTGCGATCGTGGTGGCAATGACGTCAGACCCCAAAGAAGCCACTGCCGAACCTGGTGGTTGTACGCGAACAACAGGCAGGTTAAAAGATATCAGGCCTCGAAGGATATATAACGGGTATTTGGCTGACATGTGCAGTGTAGACGTCCTTCTTGTATCCCTGCGTCATCGCTGTAGCACCGCCTCTTCCAGTCTTGCACACTCACCTCACTGGACTCCCTGCCAGGCGATGTGTCGTCGCGTACGGATGTACCTTTCGCGGATCATCCATCAAACCATGGTGCAGCCTCTTCCCAGCTTGCATCCTGCAGACTCAAACTCCTAGCGCTTTGACATACTCTGGAAAGTCGTGAGCGATCACAATGCCGATGAATGTACCGTCAAACCCTCACACAGCCTGCAAGCTGAATTCCACGGCGTTGAGGCGAGAGGGGTGTCGCGCTGCTGAATGGGAATATTTGTGTTCGAGCTTCCATGGGCTGAAATTGATCTCGTTTGCTCGACAAGCGAGTCAACCACGCCTCAATCGTGCATTGGCGCCATCACTGGTTATGCACGATGGATTGCGCTCATTGCGGGCCGAGGCGCGCTCTTGGCTCGATCTCTAATTCCGATCTCAGGAGCCCTATACAATTAAGATGCTATACCGGCGACGATTCGTAACGAGATCTAGAGCGCACTTTGGTTCTTCAACACTGGACAGCCAAACCGCAACAGCACGATCTGGTCATTTGCGCCGCACAGTTCGTCGTCCTCGTCACTCTCGATGGTTTGAGCAACTGGGACCCGTCGACGGTGGGCATGCTAAATACGGTGCACGGCATGGCAGGCGG